TGTGCTCATCCAGGCTGACTACTATATTATCTTTGTCGGTAAATGTTTAGGCGCCAAGTACCAGTCATATTTTTGGACCAAACACACCGACGTGTTTTCTTCTGGTTGGCAAATATGTATAGTCCACGCCTATTGGAAATATTTCTCGGTCGGTAAATATTGTTTTCGGTGGCTAACTTTAGATAGGTCGGGAAAATTTGGTTGGCAAAGATAATTTTCATTGACTATTTATATTTGTTCGAGAAAAAACCGGTCCACAAAAGTGTACCCGACTAATAAATTTTATTAGTCGGTAAAAGCGATATTTATATTTGGTCATGGAAATCTGGTCGGGAAAGCCATAATTTCTTGGGGTGATACCACTAACTACCCAAGAAAGATCATGTTGATCATTACGGAATATTAGAAATTTATATTATCCTAATTTCCTATAGATTTTTGAACACAAACTTGCATTCTGAACATTTATTGAATCCTTCAACTTTTTCTCCGATTGCTGGAATATTTGGAGCTATGCTTAATTCGCAGTCCAAAAATTACCATCATTTCCAACGTCCCGTCATGCCTTAGAAAGTACTCAATCAGCAGAATACCTTGCAATTTATCATTGAATGTGCAAAATTCAATCCTCTCAAGGAGTTCTGCCAAACACAAAGGCAAGGTGTCTGGCCAACGAATTTGAGCTATATCTTCTGCTCGAATAGATGCCCAGGTGCTACTTAAATAAGTGTAATGTAGAAGAAAAAAATAGTTTGTTCACAAATTTATTATTTGCTTCCTAATCTAGAAAACAAATATAGCCCTCTAAATGAATGAATGACCAACTCTTTAAGTTGGGAAGCACTTTCAAGGATTCCCGACAATATTCGGGAATCACGAACCCTCAACTCCAAAGTCTCCCATGAACCAAATAACAACAACTCTTCCAAAGATTTACAGTTTTTGAAGAACCATCTCCTGGAATAACTACTAGGTAGGATTAAATCTTATGAGGGGAACTCCTACAGATTAAGTAGTGACACATGTTCAGAAAATAAGGTTGAGACAAAATAAGACATTCGCGGACCTTTTTAAATTTGTCGGCAAATGTGCTCATCCAGGCTGACTACTATATTATCTTCGTAGGTAAATGTTTACGCGTCAAGTACCTGTCAAATTTTTGGACCAAACCCAC